TGCCTTAAATCATCAGCCTTTACTTCTGTAGTAATAACTTACGATAATTTCTTCGCGTAAACGGGATTTTGTAGTAACTTGCGATAATTTACTTCGCGTAAACGAGTTATATATCGTAAGTTACTACAGAAGTAACGCTCGCGTAAACGTAGTAAATGGGGAGCAAAAATAGGTTTTCTTTCGGTGTAGATGAGTGCACTATTTCTCGCAATTGGCTGGAAGGTAGAAATAATGCGCTCATCTCTACACCGAAAAAGGAACTCATTTCCGCTCCCCATATTGTATACTTAAAGCCCCGGATACACACTTTTTCGTAACAGTAACGGTAAAGTTTCGACCGTACGGATTCGTAATATCCATATTTCTCATAAAATAAGTTACATAAATTCGTGAATTTTTTTTATAAACTCTTTATATAATAATGCAGGGAGATAAAGAGCCCAATTTTGCATTTTAGTTAAAAATTTATAATAAATAAAATACGGACTCGCAGCGAGTCGCAGCTAAGCCAACTCGACAGAGGTCTCCACCGTGTCTCTTGCCGAAACTGTTGCTTTTCATACGATCCCTTGGGAACCTTTTGCCGCGTCGTCGGTCTCAAGGTGCCAATTCATGGGACGCTGAAAAACAGCGTTGAGCGACGTCACGTGACATCACTATGATGCCAGCGTCAAGAAAGAGAAGTTGGATTTTTCCAACTTCAAGCGTCAAAGCCAAAGCAGCGCGAAGACGCCGAAATTTTGACGCTGTTTTCCTTTTCATGAATTTCAATTGACGCCGGCGTCAATTGTGGTCATGCGACCTTTTTGCCGCTGAAAATGAGCGTCGAGCGTCAGCATGAAAAGGCACCTTCATAATAGGCGCGTTCAGCAGAACAAACGCTCAATAGCAATCGAACGTGATTGGCTGCGAACCTCTGCTGCCGAACCTCTGCTTAGCGAAGCGAAAGGTAGCAATTGAATGGGTGCGTTCAGCCGATACTCCGCTAGGCTAGCGGAGTATCGGCTGAACGCACCCAATGTGATTGGTTCTTACCTTTGGATCCAACCAATTACACTTAATTGCTACCTTTCGCTTCGCTAAGCAGAGATTCGACTGAACGCAGCCATTGGCTCTTACTTTTAGAATCAACCAATCAACGCAGATTGTTGATAAGACGAGACTCAACAGTTGTGTCTGCTGACGCGCCCAATTTCATTTGTGGTTCGCGAGCTCGATTTTCTATAGATTTTCTTGAAACTGTGAATATACGTTAATTTAGGTGTGCTTTATGCGTGGTATAAATTTCAGTACCTCTTTCCGGTATAAAAAATCAAGATACTGAGCCTCACAGTTTCAAGAAAATCTATAGAAAATCGATTTTTTCTAGTGTAAAGACCGGAGAACTACCTTGAAGGTTGAAGGCTGAAACATGATGACCGTAACCATAGTATACCCGATCAAAACACCGTTGACCGCGTCTGATGTTTTTCATTCTTTTTAAAGGTTTTTCAGTACATTAACGCTTCAAACAGATAGCGCAGATAGGTTGCAGATTACATTTTAATGTGACATTGACGAAACACGTAAGTTATAAACGTATAAATTAACAAGTAACAAAGACAATTCATCACAGCTACAAGAGAACGCATAGTACGTATATATAGATATCGAATTACACATTTTCATTCATGGCATTGACTGGAATTTATAATGTTTACAGAGCACTCGTCATGGTTCGCAACAACACAAAAAGGAATTATAAGCCCCTGAAAGCGTCAGAGCTCCAGAGTGCACTGCGTTCCATAACGCACGGGCCAAAGCTGACAATTCGTCAAGCCAGCCAACAATTCGGGATTCCATTTTCTACCCTACGAGAGCATCTGAACTTTGACGAACTGCGCGAGATATCGGGTCGCAAGACTCGCAAGCTTGGCAAGCCCACTTTTACAGCACAAGAAGAAGCCGAGTTAGTGGGACACATTCTCCGTTTGGCTGGAATGAACAACGGTATCACACGCCAAGATCTTCGCAGAGTCGTCTTCGAATTTGCTGAGGCCAAACGGATCAAGCATTACTTCAATAAAAGGTCAAAAATGACAGGGAGGAATTGGGTGTACCTGTTCCTGAAGAGAAACCCACAAATTCCGCTACGACAATTGAGAGGCATCAGTCTGAATCGTATTGCTGACTTCAACAAGAACTTTTTCAGTAACTTGCAAGCAATTATGAAGAAACATAAATTCACTCCGTACCGAATCTACAACATGGATGAGACCAAAATACCAACGGTGCAGAAGAAATGCTCAAGTGTTTACGCAGCCGAGGGCAAAAAAAGGGTCGGAGCAGTAACGTCTGATAAAATGGGAAAAACCGTCACTGCTGCTTTCTGCATGAATGCAGCTGGATGTTATATACCACCATTGATAATTTTTCCCGGAGTTCGTATGGATTCGAGATTGCAGCATAATGGACCTATCGGAGCTCTATATGGTTGCTCAAAAAATGGCTGGACAAATGAAGTTCTTTTCTGTCAGTGGCTGGAACATTTTGTGAAACACGTGAAACCCACGGCTGATGATCCGGTCCTCCTGATCCTGGACTACCACTCGAGTCATGTCTCAATGGCAGCATACACGTTCTGCATAGACAACAGCATTACTGTGGTAACGGTTCCTCCACGCATGTCCCATCGAATGCAGCCGCTCGATCTCACTTTCTTTGGTCCCCTGAAAAATGTTATGCACCGAGAATTTAAGCTCTATCTGACTTCTCACCCGTATGAGAAAATTGGGGAGCACAATTTGGCAGAGTTTTTGAACAAAGCGTTTATAAAGGTCGCGTCGATGGAAAAAGGAATCTCGGGCTTTAGGTCAGCCGGCATTTGGCCACTTGACCGGCCTGACATGTTCGAGGAAAACGACTTCGCGCCGCCAGACGAAGATAACGAAGATGTTGATCAGAATTCGATTATCGCTACTGAGTGGTGCGTTTATGAGGAGAGCGTCAACGAGAACGTCAATCTTTCAGACAAGTCGGTAACCAGCGACGATACTGCCTCTTCCACTTCGGCAATTCTGGAGATGATCCCGCGGGTCCTGCCAACTCCCACCAAAAAGAAGACGGTCCCAGGATAAAGGAGAAAGTCTCGTGCAAAAATGCAATCAGAAATTTTCACTGCCAGTCCCCGGCCAATAAGAAAAGTTGCAGAAAGCGGCTGATAAATGAAAGAAGGAAGAGGCCCCTAAGAAACGAGGGCCCTGAAAAAAAAAGCACGAAAAGCGAAAGTTCAGGCAGTCAACAGGCTCCCAAACGAGAAAGACCAAGGAAGAAGCAAACGTCGAACCCGCGGAAGGGGACAACGAATTGTAGTTTCGTTGTTGCCAGTGTTCAACCTTGATTCACGCTGAATGCAGCGGCGTCGACAGGACCAAAGATTATGGCTGCGTTCCGATATTCACTGTCAGTACTGAAAATCTATAGCGTACGTTACGTAAACTAAAGATTTTCAGTACTTGCAGTGAATATCAGAACGCAGCCTATATTTGTGATTTTTGTTAGCTTATAATACTTTCTTCTGTTCTTCAATTCTGTTTTTCAATATGAAAAAAATGAACACAACTTTTTCGAATTAATGTTTTTTATGTCGATTATATATATATATATAGTTTATTTATATTCGAATTTATATATATTTATGTCGAATGAATCGTTTAATAAGTGCCAGTCAATTCTACTAAAAAAAATTTTTTTTTAAATATCCCTCTATTTTTGAAGTTTTGCGTTTAATTTTCAATTATTTATCATCACTCTCATCTTTGACTATATAGTCAAAGATTTTATGTACAGAAGAACGAGCCTATCAGAGAGTTAAAAACAGAATTAATCTTTAAAGGCTCAGACACAATGATGACAAAAATAAGGAATAAGATAATAAGGAATAAGGGAATGTCGCATCTCACTTCAGTACACGTACATTAAAGCGAGATGCAACATGTCTTATTCCTAATTCCTTTATCTTATTCCTTATTCCTCTCATTGTGACTGAGCCTTAAAAATTAGCGTATATGTATGTATGTATGTATGTACATTCATATAAATATATAAAAGATTGACGCGCGTCTTTTTTCGATGAATTTCGGAACTCACTGATGTTGAGTTATCCACGAGCGTGCGCAATAATGCGCTATGACGGTAGTCGAAGTTGCGCAGAGTTATGTAATAACAGATATTTAATGATAGTTATGTAATAAAAAAAAAGATATAATGATAGTTATGTAATAAAAAGATATAATGATAGTTATGTAATAAAAAGATATAATTATTTTTATATAATAATAAAAAGACATTTAATAATTTTTTAAAGATAATTGGAGAAGAATGGACGATTGTAGAACATCATTATCATTTTACTAATGTAGAGCTGAAATTAGCGTATGGTAAATAAGCACAAAATACACCAGCGAATAGCAGCACGTGTTTTAACAATGGATTTAATAATTATTATTGTTAGTATCAACCGGTTTAGTAATTAACAGAAAAATTGCTATTATAGTACAAGACGACTTTATGATAGTAGTAAAAAATTTATTTTATTATAAATGTAAACTTAATAAAAATTTTATGAAGAGTTTCTTTACACGAGTTATCGAAATATTTATTTGTGTATCTAATAAAAAAAAAAACTTTCCAAGAGTTTTCAGCCTTCGGATTGACGAGAAGTCAAATAACGCGCGCGCAAGAATCGATAATCCTCGATTAGGCTGCATCCCCATGGAGAGAGAAATAGCGGAACGGAACTAAAACGGAATTGCTCTGATTGGCTAATCTTCAGGTGGGGGCTCTCAAGGTGGGATATTAGCCAATCAAAGGAATTCCGTTTTCCGTTACGCTATTTTTTTCTCCATGGGGATACACCCTTATCCCGTCATGCCTCGCGCGAGCAACCCCGTGGCAACAACTGCGCACCGTTCTCATCCCGAGGATGTCGAGCGCGTCTAAAGTCGCTTTCGGTCTATGTTGCATGTCGTCCGTCGGAATAATAGGCTACGTGCACTACAAGCAGGCCTACGACAGGTAGAAACCCGCGATTGCACGACGATTACGATCCTCGCGACTGACGTTGCGCTCGCAAAAATCGTTTTTAGGGATCAGCTTCATCTGGGTGTGATACGCGACATCGAGCGACGGGAACGCCGTAAGGCAGAAAATGTCTACGTTCTGCAGCAGCAGGCCGAGCTAGAGAAGGAACTGCGCAGAGGGGAGGCAATACGTGAGAACGATACGTAACGATTGAATAGTCGCGTGATTGTTAGTCTGTTACTCGAGGATTTTTTCATAAGGAATAAAAAGAGCCGTGTGTAAAGTGTCCTGCCCGGTCACTTCACTCCATTTTGTATGCGCGTCGAGTAACCCGTTAAAGCGTCCTCCTCTGCAAACACTTGAGTAAATTTACAGCTTTCAAGCGAGCATTATGGCTACCGACGAAGCACCGGATCAACCCGGTAAGTTTGGAGTCTCATATAGAACGAAAGCGCAATAGTATTTGCCACTTTGGAGTATATTTTTATTCCCTCTTTATGTACATATATTGAGGTTATAGTTATATATCCAATATAATATATTGAAAATATCAATTGCTTTGTAGCCAATATTTTTTTAGTGTTTATTATATAATCATATTGGTCATTGTATTGTGCGCTAGTTTTTAAAAGAAAGGAAAAGTCTAAAATGTATCTTGATTTATTATTAGAAATTTTTACTACAAGTTTAAAATGTTACATATACTTTATTTTGCTTATTTACCTATTTGTTGATCTTGTGTCTTATACAAAATGGAAGATTTAAGTTTATATCAAACACTTGAGTTCTATCGTACATAAAATATTGTACGAACTAATCTTTATGGTCTTAAACTTTGTACTTTGTTTAATTAGATTTGAAGCTGCACAGATTGCATAAGCAACATGCATAAGATAATACTAAAATGTCTTGTAATATTATTAGCAAAAATATTTTGAATGCAAAGAAAGTTAAAATAGTTGATTCTTGTTTCATAGATTTGTCTTGCATAGAGGAGAGTCTCATGAGTCTAGAGAAATTGGATAGAGCGTCACCCGATCTATGGCCTGAGCAGAGTGAGTAAATTTTTAAGTATCATCTATGAGTCATGTAAACACATTACATCATAAATGTAGCGAGCAATGAAGTTCCAGGTGTACATGAGTTCGTTGCTCAAAATTCACCGCAGACAGAACCATGTTTTTGGGCTGCGATGTCGCAGGAAGACATAAGCCATGTGCATCGTGAGTTGATATGCATTAACATATGATTCTTCATCCTGTTGCTAAATACCGTAAAATATTTTCTTGCAGAACTGGGTAATATGTCAATGACCGGGCTTATCTCGGAAGTGAAAAGACTGCACGATTTAGCTTATCAGCTGGGTCTAGAGGAGGCTAAGGAAATGACACGCGGCAAATACTTGAACATATTTAAACATAAATAACCTATTTTAGATTTGCAAAAAAAAATAATAAAACGTGAAAATGCATAAGTATAATCGGTATTCTTAAGAAACGTTTTGAGACGTTTTTATATTTTTGCAACCTGAAAATTCTTTAAGAATTCTCTAAGATCCACCTTGTGTATCTCTGTACATTTACAAATGCAGATGGAAAAATGATGCTTGAGTCACAACTAGACCCAAATGATAGGATTCCAACCTGATAAAAAAAAAAAAAAGGAAAACATAAATATGTGAACTACATCTGTAGTATATATGTAAATATTTATGTTGATAACGTACCAGGAAATATGTGTCCGCATATTTGTATAACAGAGGACTACCGCTGTAACCTGAACAAGGTTCACAGTTTCCTTTGGCGCATAATTCGACAGATAGAGCTTGGCTTAAATAGTCCGAGCACTGCTGCTTAGGTACGAGTTCTAGTTGTAATGACTGTTGCGTCAGTGGTTGCGCTGGATCACAGGGTTACAGCACTTGAACGTTACATAAACACAGCTTACAGTTTACGCTTTACGATAGTTTGTTCTATTAATACAAATACCTTTTTGACCTGACAATTTTCCCCAGCCGACAACAGTGCATGTACTTCCTAAGCTGACGTATCTGTCTTCCGGTATAAAGCAGATTGGTTGAGCTGTGGCTGGAGAAGACCGGATATATTGCTATTTCATTGAGGCTGTGACCGTCACAATGTCTTCAACGCGTGTATATTTAAGAATTGTACATACCTGTAAAATCGATAGCCTTCTTCAAGCGAAGTAAGGCGATATTGTTCGAATAACTTGCGGCGTTGTAGCCCGGATGTTTAACTACATACGATATGTCGTGGCTACTGATATTGTGCCCGCAAAACAAATTATTGCAATCTGGATTCGACTCTGTATTATATTCACCAATAAGCACAGAGCATCTGAATGGATTACGAACAACGATTATTATAATTACTGCATGCTACAGATCAATGCTGTCATACAATCGAAAATCTGAGCAACGATCATTCGTTATATTTTATTTTCGACTGCTGTATACGTACAATTTGTATCTGTCCGATTTCGCGAGTGCGCATGTAGCTGTAGTCAATACAATACGCTCATTAACAATCACGCCATTGCACGAGTATTTAATCTCACCCGTTAATGTATCTGAAAGCGAATTCTTGCTAACAGTCTGAAAACGCATGTCTTATATAATAAAAGAGATATAGCTAACTTTCTCTCTCTCTTGTCCTTCGAATAAACAAAATTGTATATAATTTGCTATATATATGTGATGCCGCAGAAATTTTCTGCCTTAAATTTTTATTGAAACATTTGGAATCAACTTTCAATTGGTTCAAACTGACGACTTTTGACGCAGCATTTTAACTTCAATGTTATAATTCAGATATATAATTGGCGATTTCTGAGACATCTTGTATATTACGCAATTTCTATATGATACCAAGCACTTCTGTATACGTGCAAAGGTACTTGCTTATAAAACCGATTCTTGCGACAAAAGGATACGATCCTAAAGTGTCTACGTTGTTTCGAACGATACTCTTTCCGCACTGAAAGTTTGAAGATGGTTGCGTTGGATATGCATCCAGGCTTCTGTCTGGATACGTCGGCCGTTCGGTATAACTGTTGACGCTGCAGCAAATTTTTATGCGTGTTCGATCGTACCCGCACACGGCTTGTCGCAATCTGCGTTCGAAAAATCTACGTGTGTAAATTATGTACTCGTCCGTCTGACATAAAAAGGGACCACGTTACCTGTGAGCGGAAAGTCCGTTTTGACCCATTAGGGATACAACCGCCGGGCAGTACTCGATGAACGAACACTTCTGATCACTGGGACAAGAAAGAGAATTATTCTGGCACGTATCGTAATGATACCAAGGGTACTCGCACAGCTCCGAAGTTACGATCGGCAGTAAAAGTAGTAGCAATAGGCAGCACATTTTTATAAAGATATAAATTTGTATAGGATATAAATGCAAACGAGATGGTCACACTCTTGACGAGGATAAAAATTCGTTAGTTTTGTCTAAGCGGAGATAAGCGGTTTTCGTATCAACGTCGAGCGAAATTCAATAAAACGATCCTTTCCATGAAAGAAATATGCAAGATAGGTCGACTTTAAAAAAAAATTATCGTTCTCTCAGATCTCTTTTTTCGAATGTATTGTGTTTTCTGTGTAGAAACACGACGGATTAATGCAGATAGATCTCGTAGTCCGTTTCGCATTCGCGACCAACATCGTCTGTACCGGATGATGAACTGATTTCGTTGCATCGCGCACCTCTATGCGACAGACAATTTCGTTTCTCTCGGTTACCTTGACTAGAGCATTATTCGCACATCCGGCGGAACTGTGATAATCACGCGAAAAAGATACGTATTTTGCGATTAATGCTCGAAACTGTGTTACGTTTTTACTTGGATTTCTTGAGAAGGCAACAGAGGGGTTGATATAATCACCTCCTTGATGTAAACTACACTGAAATTAGCTAATTAAAATGAAATGGACTTTTTTAAACGCTGCGATAAATTCGTACAGCGCGGAAACATTATTTAATCATACAAATTAAAGGAAAATATTTTGTATGTATTTCTACGAAAATAATGGAAAAATGAAAAACATCTTATAAGATATTTACATTTTTATTAGACATCGTCTAATTGCGTGACCCACCTTGTATATAAAATTTATTAATACTCGTATAACACGTAATTATAGATAAACTCATAAAAGCAAAATAAAAAATTATTAAGTACTATTTGTATAAAAAAAAATTCTCTTGCTGTTCGGCATACTGTGGATTAATGGTGCATTAATGAACTTTGGTTTGTACGTTTCTTCAATTCTCGTGCGAATAGGGGGAACAGGGAAGGTTTTTAACAATTCGAATTTCGTCTTTCGTTCCACTCGATAGCGGTCTCGATGATGCCGGACGATCGGACGAAGTCGACGGCAACGATATTGGCGGTGCGTTGCCATTTGCTGTTGTACCAATTCGTAACGTTAATATTAACTTTCTCCGCCATTTGGCGGATACTTCCGAGCCGGTTTAAGATTACGTCCCATGTGTTGGGCGTCAACTCCGCCATCGCCGACCTCGGTATCGATCTAGGATGCCTGAAACGAGAACCGCCAGATTGGCATAATTATAATTTGCGCTATAATGTCTCTCTTCATGCTGCATTGAGAGCAAAACTAATGACATTTTTTTTATGCAATGGAATGCATTGCTCTCATTGCTATCAATTGAGATCATTATAAACTTAAACTTAATCAGCTATTATTGAGATCCGTTAATCGTATCAACTAAGCAGCTCAGACCGGATACAGGTATTCGGTTTGTCTGGCGCGCGTACACTTTACTCATGATCGTGTCTCTTAATTAACGAAAGTACTTATAAAACCAAGAGTAAGATATATGATGAGAAGAATAATCTTGAATAGCTTAGCGCTACTCGATGTCGGCTTTGCATGATTTGCATACCCGAGACTTTCCGTTTCGATGCGATTTAGATAATTGAACAAGTCTTCGATAGTCCTGACGTTTCCCCATTGATGAGTCACGCAGGGCCACACGCTTTCGTAACGACTGACAACTCGTCTCTCATCATAACCGATGATAAGTCTTTTCCCGGATGACCAGATCGTGTTCAGCGTACTGGTCCATCCGTAACTCTTCGGCAAGTAGTACCCGGCGAATTGTTCCTCAAGGAATCCAATAAAGTCGTGATGCACCGCCAGATTTTTTCCAAAACCTAGCAACACCATCAGCATATATTTTCACATAAATGACGGAAGTCTACTATTTCCAAGTCCTAGCTACGAGTTGCACAATATTGCTAGGTTACTTATTATTATTAATTGAAAAGCAGCGATAAGTCACGTTATAATAATGTTTGTGTATTTCATTCCTATATCTTGCTAATATTCATAATTTGCACTGTTAAATTCGTAGTGTCAAATTATATTCAATTTGAGTTGTTTTTTACGTTGTTAACTATTCCTATAGATCACCATTGTTCTTACTCAATCATGTCATTAATTTAACTAAACCAATGGAATTAAAATAATACTATTTTGTGTTAGTAAAATAATAAATTTTGACATACATTAAATAACAAAATGTTATTTAACTCAAGATATTGATTTAAATTTCATCCTTTAATATTTAACAGTGCATTGCCCGAACAATACGAAACAATCGATACAAAGCAAGAAAATTAATCTCTATAGAAAAAATCAGATGATAAATAAGACATCTTAGAGTCTGAGCAAGTCCGACGCAACTTTTAAATGTCACGAACGACTCTTAAGCCCCTTACATGATGCTAGCCGATAGCGATAGTGATAGCAATAGCGACAAAATTGCCGACAAAGCTACAGCATTGATACACGGCTTCCGACAGGTTAAAAATTTTGTCGCTATCGCTATCACTATCGCCTAGTACTGCGCAACGGGCTTTATAATTTATCTATTAAGTCTCCTATTTTGTTGCGTTATAAAGAATTTTATAATCTTTTGAATCAATGCTCTTTCTTTAGCGCGGGAGTATCGCGGATGAATTCCAAGAACGGTATTCGAGCGTATAACAATATTTTTATATATTTTAAAAAGCGCGAGAAGGAACGTTGCATTCGCGATGGTTCTACTACCTACAATATTTTTACCCGGCCAAGAACTGTCGAGCATTAAAATGTATTACCAACTGGAAATTCCTGGATGTCAAATATCACGATCTCGTTCGTTTTGTCGAGGAAGGTCTTCACCTGGTTGATAACGGTCTGCATGGGAACGGACTTGAATACTCCGTGATTTGCCCACCACACCGAGTTGGTGTTGGGATAGTGTCCGGCTCTGATGTCGAGATATCGGACCCCGTAGATCAGTTGCGCGAGCACGTCCACATCCTGCAGTTTAATTATCCTAACGATTACCAGCAACGGTTATTCCATATTTAATTCTTACTATTCGACTTTAATGCGCAAGCTCTCTCTTTAATGCGTCGCCCGAACGTTTTCGGGCCGAACACTCAAACGTGCGCGCAACAAGCATCTGATTTGAATTGAAAGGAAGTCTATTTTGAATCAATCGAAAGAGTGCCGTGGGAAAGGAGATCTGGTATAGCCGTGCGACTTCCGACTCGGAAACGATGTTGTCGCAGCGAGATTAACTTTGCGGATTATCTGATTTGTTCCGCGCAATTCAATTTTCTGTGTTATTAATTCGGAATTTACCTGCGTTATCACGTATCTCTCGACGATATTCTCGGAGTTTGCCCGTTCGTGTATCGCGTACGACGCGGAATCGTGCGTACCGGGCAAAAATACTCTACTTATAGGCAGCGATCCTAAGATGGCCCTCCTCTCCGTCATCCAGTGAGGCTGCGTTCGCAGACAATTTGTCAGTTTTACCGTGCCGTTTCTCAGCCAGGCGACATGGTAATCTATTAAAGCGAAATTCCGTTTCAAGATTGGATCGCGCACACCACTAAAGATATCGCTAAAGAAAATAAAGTAGATCAAGTAGCAGCCTTTGAACTGTCTCTTTTGATTTCGTCAAAATTTTAAAAAACAATTGGCTCTTGTGCAACAAATTCAGATGGTGGAAACAATATTTTCTGTGCGCTATAGTAAATATAAATATACGAAAAAGAGCTTTAGTAATTTTGTTAAAAATTACGATCGAGAATCGCTGCATATCGTCCGACGATAATTATATTAGTTTTCTTCCGTATTTATATTCACTATTTGCATGTATATGTAGGGCTGGAAAAATTACTGTAAAAGTGACTCGTTACTAATTCTAAAAAGTATAATTTGTTATTGTTACTATTGTTCAAAAAGTAACAGGTCTCAATAACAAATTGTTATTTTTGTTACTTTTTTTACGTTACAAGATCAATTAATAATAAAATTTGTCCAATTAAAACTAGTTAATAATAAAATAATTTTAAAAACGTTACATTTCTAAGAGATTTTTGTTGAAATATCGATGAAAGTAATAAAACTTTGGATTTTTAATTTGCTATACCATAAAAGAACTTGAAAAAGGAGTCTTTCGAGTATCATAAATATAAAGTTCGCAAATTTTAGACCTTTTTACACATTTTTTTTATCTTTAATCTTATGTGTTTCAAAATCTTGATTTGATATACCAATTTAGGATCAAATCTGTTTTTAGAATACAAAAATCTACAATAATTACATATAATCTGGATTAGAAATATAAATTCTATGAATTTTATCGAACTTCTCGTTTATTTTTTAAAAGAAGTTAGTGTTTGATCCTCATTCATACCTATATATAATCCTCAACTCAATCATGAAAATGATTTCTCTTTAGAGCCTCCGAATACATGAAAATCAAATAAGTTTCAAACGTATATATAATTTATTATATTCGTTACGTTACCGGAAAAACGGATACCCGAAAAATAATGATTGTTACTGTTGTCGTTGCAGACAAAATAATAGATAATGGTTGCCATTGCACTTACAGTTTTTGCAACTGATAATGTTGGCTGCGAAAATGTAACTGTAACGGCAACGTGTTAAATAATACAAACGCGTTACTTCTCAATAATGCTGTATATAATACGCTTGATCAGTAGTCTATATTGGAATTATGTAATTGCGATGTGTATATACATATAAGTCGCGTACGTACGTAGGCATTGCTGAACGAACGTGAGATTCGAGGTGGGAACGAACGTGGCCTGCAGTCCGGTCCTCTTGATGCCGCTCGGCGCGTTTGGTATCAGGGTATAAATTGGCTCGAGGCCGTTCGTGGGCTCGCCCGTGTAAAGAGCGATCGTATCGCCCGGTCGATACCTGGCGTGATTCCAATAAATCTCGATCTCCCGTATCGTTTGCATCGACATTATGGGCGAGATAATCAGGCCGACGTGCGCGCGTTGGAAATCTAAAAGGGGGAAACAGGTGTTTCGAGATGCGAGGCTTTTTTCGAACACAACTGGTGCAATAATTTCAATATGACAATAATCCTTATTGAAAACCGAGGCTATTATTGCTCTGCGAGACGAAGACGCGCATTGACACGATTGCGTAAGTCATAATAACAATATTTTCTTAAACGAAATACGTCAAACTTTTGATATTCGATAAAGCGGCACGAAAATATCGACGATCCAATCGATTTATTGTTGCATTTATTATTGATCGTGGTAGAAAAATGTCTCAGAATTTTCCATAAAAATTTTCAGATTTTCTCAGAATGCTCAGAATTTTCAGATTTTTTTATACGAATTGAAACGTTTTGCAGAAAAACTTAGACAAAATAATAATAAAACATTTCGGATTTTTCCCGCCAACATATCTTTGTAAAAGTCGGAATAAATGTGAGAAAAGCTGTGCAATTTATCAGAAATTTTTATACACACTGATACTAAAATATTCCGAAAATCCTCATTCAATTATTTTTGAAAGTATCTGAGAAATGTTACATATATTTTTTCAAAATTTTTTATAAGTCTCAATTCATACAAAATTCTGAGAAATTGTTTTACCAGGATTTGCATAGCTTATCGCGCTATTGCTACACTGTCAACTATAAAACTCACCGTCTCCCACGTCCGGACCACAAAATCTCGCCGTCGACACGCAGTCGACGATTGTCAACCAAGGGAGAAGGGCGGGAACGATAGTAAGTAGCTTCATCTTCGTGCACGAGTTAACCGCGGTAGGACCGTAAACAAAATCTATTATCCGCTTCTTTGAGCCGTTGACATTCTTCTCTCGGTGCTCCCTCAATCGTTTCAATTCTTCCCACGAAGCCAACTGGCTACGAACTGCCGCAAAAGACGTCAGCCTTCACCTTCGATCCAGCTCGTTTTCTTGCGCGGCTGACGGCTCTCATGAGTTTAAGAAATTATCACCGTCAAGAAAGCTTACGACGTATTTATAAATACAACGGTCGTTTTGAAGAAGGAATCACGTACATTAATAATATATTTTATTATTTATAATAATAAAAATGACGGAGGAAATGAACGCGGTGTTGATTCTCTTACGTAAATTAAAAATATCGAAATGCCTTTCTTTACAGAAAATAAATTACCTAATTTTTAGATTGAGAAATAAATTTGTTCACAATCAATCTTATTGTTACATAAATCTCTAGGATGTGACTTCACAAGGCAGGAACGTTATGCAATTAAAAAATAAAAAGCCACTCCAGGTCGTAAAATTACGATGACTTATATCCTGCAGCGATATGATGCAAATTAAAAAAAATTAAACAATTGTAAAATGAACGTATTTACTAACACTCGCTCATTAATCGCGATACAATTGGAAAATAGACGCTCTCACGCGGGTCGTAGCTCTTCGAGTTTTCTCGGTTCGACGCGCTGGTCTCCGTTGATAGATCGTAACTGATCGTCGTAGATGCGGCCAAGTCAAGTTGTGCAAGTTCAAGAACGTGGTTATAGCGACTGGCGAACGCGATGACGACAGAATCGTGTGAGACACATAATTGCTAAGAAAAACCATCCGCGTTGATTATAAATGCTGACCGTTTATCTCTTCATCCTATATCGTCTAATCGCGCGATTGTGCAATCTTATTTTTTCTCGCTCTTATTACGAGATCGTGGACGTGTTCCGCGCGTCTTACATCGCTCTCGAGACTAGCGGGAGTCCTTTTGCACCGTCGATTTTGTTTAACGTTCATCACATTTCTACCGGTGACTCGTTTAGTTTGAAAGTAATCAACGAAATGAGATTTCTGCTTGAGAGATTTTTCTTTTCAATATCTTCGCGCGGGAGTTGAAGAAATCGAAATTGTGAAAAAAGAAATTCAGGGGAGAACGTCTCCCTTATCTTTTAATTGGAGAATTTGCCTGCGCTACGCGATTGATCCCGATCGAGATCGCTGAATCTCCGTGGGGGAGAGGTGGAGGAAGCCCCCCCTCTCTCCCCCCCAGGAAATTAACACGATGATATTTCCGCGTGCTGCCGACGCCGAGTCGACGTCGAACGACGAGAGGGGGAGGGGGTAGAAGGACGAAAGGGGAAAAGGGGACGGAACGTGGAAGGGGGACCAGAAGAGGAGATCTCTTACCACGAATTATATCGCGAAGAAGTCGGGCTCGGCTGATTGCGCGTTCGTATCCTCGACCATCCGTTCCTGCCGTCCTCCTGGCATCGGAGTTCGGACTAATGCGTAGTCGTTTCCTTGATAATCGACGGCGAACGCGCGCAAAAAAAAGCCGCTGACTCGCAACGTTACCGCGTCGATGCGTGAAACTATGCGGCGCGATTCGGTATCACGCGAACTTCAGCAGCGACGGCGGTGGCGGTGGTGGCGGCGGCGGCGACGGCAGCGGCGGCGGCAGCGACGGAGGTGGCGGCGGCAGCGGTGACAGCTCTCCACCGCACACGGCTTTTTGCCTGTGCGGCACAAGCAAAAATGTTTCTTTCTCGGAAAGCAGGCAGCACGAAGTACAAACGGGGTGAATATTATAGCGGTAGTATATAATTAAAGGCCGCTAACAGAGAAGAAAACAAAGAGAGAAAGAAAGAGAGGGTGGAAGGGAGGGAGGAAAGAAGGAAGGCTCTGTCGAGGGGTGTCGAGCCGCTGGTGTCAAAGGATTTCTTGGTTCTCTTGAAAAGAAGAAACGTAGGGAAGACACGCGAAGAGAAGTAAGAGAGTAAAAAAGAATGGAAGGAAAGAAAGAAAGGGTGGAAGGGGGAGGTGAAAAAAGAGACCGTAGAATGGAAAGGAAGAAGCAAGAGGAGAGAAAAGACCAAGAGAGGGAGGGAGAAAACGAATTGTCGTCTTATATGTATTTGCGACATAGAGCTGCGTGAGCTGCAATCTTATATTGTTCTACTTTCTATAGCGAACGTATGGTATACTTGCTATTATTAAGGTACGCTGAGAATACAGCTGAGTCATGCTACTAAAAAAAGAAATATCTTTTAACTAAGATTTTAATATCTCCTTTGTTCTCTCTTCTCAAATTAATATTACACGAATAAAATTTCTTTAATAGAATGAACAAGGAAATGATTTAATTTACGAGTAAAGATTGTTAAGTAGATAATAATATTGTTTCAATGGCATAGGTAACAACAATCGTCGTTCTGTTCCATTCAGAGAGTTATCAGTTCTATAACGGTTCGCAATATACGTACAAGTAACTGTTTTTCCATCGAATGAGTCGCCGGTATGCGGGAGCCATTAAGCAAAAAGTGTTAAACAGACCTTGGAACGTATTCCGACCGTAAATTTGGCGCTAATGAGAGTACAGGAGTATTTGCGTCTTCTGTACTCGCGTGAATTATCTCCAAACATTAACTAATCCATAAGACATACAATGTCCCAAAACAGTATCTCTTTAACAATTTCTTTGGCTGATCTTTTCCTAAGAAAGACTTTCGAGGTCTTATTTATACTTATTTACACTTGAAAATATTTACACTTAAAAATATCATGGCCCATTTTTTGCACCATATATATCTTTATAATTATTTTATAATTACATTTTTATAAATATTTTTGTATACGTCTTAAATTAAAATTCTCTTACAATAAATCACCATATAGTTTTATTAAGCAAAGAATGTGGATTTCTTAACTACTTAACTTCCCGAAATTTACTTCGCGAAAAGCCCATTTTTTTCAGTCGCAACTTGAAAATTGTTCGGTAAAAAAACAACTTTACATTAGCCAGAGAATCATTAAAAGGATATCCTGTGGTTTTCAAATATTCTGTGTATAATGTGTATATAGTACACATATAAAGCATAAAATGTGCAAGAAACCGCATCGAGAATAATCACGGAAATAATTTTAAAAGATAAATTGCTTAAATATATTATTCAACAATCAAAAGGAGAAATTAGAAACGCTTCCTGAGGTAATAAAGATTAATGCGGAAGAAGATAAAAGTGAAAGCGAAGAATAAATAATACACAACTTGTGTAAATCTCAAATTTTCTATCTCGTTGCAAGTTTCAATCTTTTAAATAATAATATGCATTTATTGTTTTTTTCTCTCGAATCTGAAAAATTGAGATCAAATTAAGCATATCTTCAAACGCGTTTGCAGAACGCAAATAATTGATAAAGTAAATACACAGATTAAACTTTCTTACTATTTATATTTAATATTAAATAGTAGTGCATTAAGTGAAATATCTCGAAATGGGGGAGGAGGGTATTAGCCTATTCACCTCGTACTCTTTCACTCACAACCTTCAACTCTTCAATCAACCTTTTGTAGAACCGAGGCATACATGGGATGAGGGTCGGGATTAAATGCGGACCTGTCGACTACTACTTGACCGCTTTCACACGAAGGCACGCGTCACCCCCAATACCAAGTAGTATTAATATATAAAAATTTACCTGAGTATCATGACGCAGAGAGAAATAATGCGAAAAATTGCAAGGAGTTTTTGCAGCTAAATGAATCGTATGTAACTAAAAGATAATCCGTTACGTACCTGTTACTGTTGATCGGCTTCGTTCGAAGATCGCTGAAGTGCGTAAGTTGGAGAAATAAAGATAACCTGCGTCGCGGAATATTTTCGCACGCACGTTTATTAGCTATATATAGAAAATGATCGCGACTCTTTTTATCAGCGACTGTTAAGCCAGGCTTGTCGTATCATCGTATCGTATTATGACATTAGGGAGTTTTTGCAATACCGTCTTTCAGATACGGCAATAACTCTTTATTTTCTTATCAAAATACGGATATGTTGGTCATAATAATATGTCATCAAGACGTTTGTTTTCAATTTGTAAGATACGGGATACGAATACAGATTGAAAACACAAAGGCCTTGGCATATCATTATAATCAACATATCCGTATTTTGATAAGAAAATGTCATGATACGATACGGTGATACGATACAAGTCTGGACGCGGCGACGCGGCTTTAGTCTCCGATGCGAGTACGCATTGGAGTTGAAAATGAAAGGGGGAACGGGGAAAGGGGGGGCGTATGGTGTGTACAATTGTACAATACGTAGCGTTTGCTTCGCTTGTATTGCGCTTACGTAAAAGAATCACTGCGCGGAGAGAGAGAGCGTTATTCATTTCCGCTACCGCGATCATTGTCGCGTAATTACCGTACGGTAAAATCGTATTGCAGGATGCCGTGCCACCGGGAAACAATAGAGAGATGTCCGATGTAAATTCTATGCAAGTTTTTACAACGTAATGGAATACAGTCACCGATATAAACGACCAAGAAATGTTACATAATAATATAAATAATGTTACATAAATTTCTTTATCACACTGAACGATCAGTTTTTCGACATCGTTATAGGATTAAAGTTAAACAATTTTGTTGACTTGCGGAACAAATGTACTGACTCGAATCGGTAACGAAAGAAGACGATAAAATCAGTAAACAACAATTAACTCTAATGAGAATCATTTTAATTTATATAAGCATGTAGTTAGTTAGCTGCAAATTAAAAATGATTGATTCTTCCGTTTCATGGACAAATACGGTATTACGTTGATCAGCATTGACGCACCGTTTCACTGCTATCGGTTTCATCGAGGAACGTGGGAAGGCGAGAAGGTCGAAAGAAAACGCCATGACATTCTTCTGAGGTTTTTCTTATCTTCCTTTATTTTACAAAACTGAAAAAAAGAAAACTTCTGCGAGAGTAACAAACTTTTGGCTTATGTGACTAGTTGTAATACTTAGCGGCAATACTAAATTAGTGCAGTGTAAGTATGTACATTTGTGTTTACAGTGTCTCCGACTGCGAGAAACCACGCAGGCTCAGTTTACAGAGCGATTACAGCTTCGACGATAATTTCTATCCTAGTTACAAGACTCCGTTTACGAAGTTGTGTTCTTACGTGATAAAAGGAGAAACGCCAATTTTTTTTTCTTATCTCTCTCGTTCGCGCGGAGAGCGTCAGCGAAGAATTTAATACAAGGGAGGACAAAATATACGCGAGTAAAATCGGCAAATCTCGTTTCGTCCTCGTAATTTCCTCCGCCCTGTATATACGTCGGGATTAATTTTTCTAGCCTACAGGTATACAGAATGTAGTAACAAGTTATATGCGTGTACGTGCACCGTCGGTCTTGGCGGATGAAAGCGAGCGAATAAAATTTCGACATATACACGAATAAACGGACGACACACACACGCTTCCACTCGGCATCCCGTACATTTTATCGATCCGCCCGACCATCGGTACATCGTACGCGTCTTAAACAGGATAATGAATAATTTAACTTACGGATTACAAATGTTAAACTATTGTAGGATAATGTCCATAGTCTCTCTCGTGGAAGACGCGGTATGGCAGGATTTTTTCCCTTCTTTTTTTTAAAAAGTTTTTTTTTACTCGTTTATTTATTTAGGAATAAATCTTTCTCTCTAGCGCAGGCTACGATCCTGGCTTTCCTCGTCGCGGAAATCGAGTACCTCGAATAATTGCGTTCCTGTCGAGTCGACGTTTATTTCATTTTACCGTCCGCGAAAGAATGATTGACAATTTCATTTGATAACCCGAACAATTAGTACACGTATACCGGAAAACCACGAAGGCCTGCCACGTAAATGCAGTAACGTTTACGTATATATGTATAAGAATTATATTTAGAGAATGTATTTATTTATCGAAGAACGTTTGCGATAATAGTGGTATACTTTACAGACCTATGTCACTATTTCATAATTTTTTTATTTGCCACTCTGTAGCAATGCATTACGAATTTTATTTTATTGATAAAGTATCTCAAACATCGCTATAGGAAACATCGCTGATTTGTCGAAAGCATTTTTGCATTAAAAAAATAGTGACGCAAAAGTTCGACATTTTTTAATGTGATCAAATATAAAAAAAATTGAGTTGCATTCCGGACAGCGTGAATTGTATGGGCATGGGAATTGTACGGCGAGAGGAAATGCACACGGGCACGCAATTGCGTGTGAATCTCAATAAATAATTCACGCGAGAAATTACAAGGACGAAAGCTCGGTGCGTTTTACACGCAAATTTTTCCCTCTTTCGAAACCGCGGAATCGCCTTCGTTTCCGTCGAGGAGATTCGTTATAAGTCTTTGTCAACATCAGATACAGACAAGAAATCATCGTAAATTTCAAGCTCGTAAAGTTAATCGAGAAATCGGACAGGTTCGTAAATCAATTCGCAACCGCTTATATACGAGTCTCGTTGCTCGATTTTAAAATTGTAAGCTGCGTAGTTTTTCCCTCCTTAGAATACGAGATGTTTTTCTGCCTGTTTCGCGAAGTTGACGCGCCTCGAATCTTCTTTCGCAAGAAGTTAAATAACTCCTGTTATTCGCCGGGTGCTTTGTACGGATGTATAATCATGAGGAAATGTGTTCAAATGAAAGTAGATACTTACTTTTGCGACGAGATCACCGATTGCGCGGGCGCGCGACAGAAGTATTACAACATTTTAAAAAATATTACGATGCGCAGGAAAAATTGTATAATTGTCCAATATTTTAATATATTTTAATAATTCAAATGCCTTTTGAGCACGAGTAGTAGTCTGGCGATCGTAAAATTAAATTTTTTTTTTACAGCTTAGAACTAGATTCGCGGGTCAAGTCGAATTAATAATTCAATTAGCGAAATAATCTTATTCAAATACGCTTAATACGCGATCTACATAATTACGTCCCTTTCGTCCTCGAATTTTACAAATGTAGGTAATTCTACTTAAAATTAATATATATATATCTCTCTCTTTCTCTCTCACACACAGACACACATTCTCTTTTTCTCTCTCATAAAATTTCTTAAAGCCATCATATACATTTTAAGATAAAACTAATATGCGTATACATGTGTGGAATATTTTTCTAATAATTAGGTTGCGTAATTTTATTAGCAAAATATTAACAACAAAAAATTAATTCGAAGAAATTCGCAGAGTATATATCATGAGCTTTTATGAGCAGTGAGTGTTTCACAGTGTTTTCTAGGAAAATATTAATAGCGCAATCTGACTTTTCTCATATTCAAATCTTTTTTAACAGTTGTAAGCACCATCAGTATCATCACACGATTTACGACGAAAATTAAAATTGACACTTTTTTATACAAAATCAAAAGACATAGTTCTCTTTACAGAAAAATTCATTAGCAATTTGGACAATTTAGGGACAAAGATGTGTATTAAATGTGTATCAATAATGAGTAAATTCAATTTTTGCTCCGTCTTTTGAATTCACGTTTACTATGGAAATAATAATCTATTTTCAATATATAGAACAAGCCAGATAATTTTTATAGTTTATGTAAATTCGTTCCTTCGACAATTTTTAAACGAATCTGCAATAATATATAATATTAAATGCCTTACAAAATCGTGTAATGATTTTTATCAGTTTTTCAGTATTACAAAAACTTATTACCGTGACGCTAGTGATTCGTCACTAGCACGACATTTACGTATGTCATTCGGTCAGGACAACCTGTATACATTGATTTTTTTCTCGCGCGTTTCGTGAGCAGGCAATGTGATCGATGCGAGGAAGGAAAGGAAAGAAACCATCGAGGACGACGATGGCGACGGCTAATTTAAAGCTAAAGTCTTCAGTATCAGTCCATTGAAGTTTTCATGCACGTATAAATTAGGACAATTAGGTACATGGTGTGCACATGTGGTCGTGCAGTCAGTACTGCAACTAGAATGGTAATTAACCGGAACTATTTCGGACTTGCCAGCTCGCGCAGTCCCTTTTTTTTGTAGTTCGTAGCGACCGAAGAATTCCAGCCGATCTAATCCCGACGGAACTGATTCTGCCTGTTACACAATATGTATAACGTTCGCGGATAGTAAATGCAAGAACTGTTTTCTGAATCGAGCGTTCATAAATTAAACCTTGAGCGAAATAAAATATTGAGCGGAAATGTCAAAATAATAAAAAAATTTGATCTTTGAAGTTTCTTTGAAGGAATATATTAAATTCTATTAGGAGATCTAGCAATTAATTGTACAGTTTCGAATGTATGTTCGTTATTTCCTTTTTTATGATTCTTTTTTTTAGAATTATACATAAAAATGTATAATCAATTTGACTGATTTGACATTCAGCGATGTAATCGTAGCAATATCCCGTAATTCAATGACAATATAAACGCGACAATTTCGCGTACACGTTATCCCGTTCAATTGCGGAGAAAATCGAACTCGTCGGAAATAGCGGTCTGAATTCTGGTAAACCATTCTGGATGTTAATGTTCGCCGAAATGACGCCATTCGAGAAATTCGGACGTGCCATGACAAGAGTTAAAACGTACGCTCGATATACGACGCGACCAACGACATATATACATAAATCGAGCATTCTATTTATAGAAAACGGAGCCCGGTGTCACTCGAGTCGGGTTTTAAAATTGAATGAAATTGTTCAGTCAGTGCCCTTTTCGCTCTAACAGCAAGAGCATCGTTTTATTCGCTCTGTCGATTGTTCTCGTCGTCTCTGTTATAAATGCACAATAAATACAACTACTTTGTGAAAATGAGATAGAGTGTATATAAAAGAATTTGGTAAATATGCAGTATTGTCAAGAAAGGAAGAAAAATAGAGAAAACGGGACGAGAGAGAGCATCGATTTGCTCGTGCGGATTCAGTTTTTCACATCTTGAAATTAACACATAAAGGTGGCCTGGGTTTCACATTGACGCTCGACCCTCATTTTCAGCGAGTAAAAATCTTCAGAAATAATATTTTTTATTTATATATCTGTAAAATATTACTACTTGAAGATATTACTTGAAAATAATTAATATTTTACGTACTTCGAAGTCAACGTGAAAAGGCACCTTAAAATGTAGAAAAAAAAACCTACAATGTGGGGAATGTTATATTATTATAAAACATCCCGTATTACCTTACTATGTATTGTCAATACTGCACTGCACATTTACCGAGGATCTTAGCAGGCTTAAAAATAGTGGCAGTTTGTTTGTTGTATATATGTCGTTGCGGACGAAACTGATCTCGTTGGGAATAAAAATACAAAGTAACGACGACAATGCTATATATATGAAAATAAATTAGTCAAGTTTCTTCTTTTAAATATACGCGCAAATTTGTTGCGGCTACGGGGCTTCGTGTCATCCTTACGTCATGGCGTTGTTCAAATTATATATCGTTGCATGCACGCATTATCTCCCGAAGCAAATAACATTAACGAAACCTGGAGAACGGCGTTACTCCGCGACTCGCTCCGATTAAATAGCGCGATTAATTGAGCTTAAATAGCTATCGTTAATTATACATACCTAATTACATACGGGTAATTAACTAATTAATTCATTAATTAATTAAAGTGCTATACAGGTGACGATGGCGCGATGCGCCGCGATGGGGAGCTATGAGGGTGAAGAGTTTTTTCAATAAATACTCCTTAAATTACAAATCTTACCGCGGTTCGGAGGGGGGGAGGGTTCCTGGCATATACTTAAAGTTAAGACGTCTTGGGCGACAATTATACAGATTGGATGCTCTCATACGCAAGCTCATACGACGCGCGCGTACAATACAAGTGTAACGTTAATACAGTGTTATGTGCGCACTGTTAATATATTATCGATAGTGTTAGTCGTGATTGGACCACTCGAGACTCGTAGTCAATTAATAGGTATGCAATATATTAATCGGTTGTTAATTCTCTAACTAAACGTCCCCCTGAAATCGCCGCGAAATCGCAAACGGCAAATACGACGGCGCGGGCGAGGCGGCCGACGATATGCGCCTGTTCCAGTCGTGGCGTTATTTTATCAAGGAAAAGAGAAACATGAATCGACGAGAATAAATGAACGAAATGCTCCTCCTCTTCGCTTTCCTTCCCGTCTCGGGCTTTCTCGTCGTCGATATCCGCGCGAATTTCGAGAAAACTCGCGAAAATCGACTTTTCCTCCATCTCTCGCCTCGTAAGGCAATATATACTAAAAAATGGTCTGCAAATATGAATTATTTCTTTATACTCGGCTAATCGACTATCTATTCGTCTAAACGTTTCCTAGTTTCCTATATATGTACAGGCTTGCATTGACGCGATGGTAAGGAGTTCGGATAACTTGTATTCCTTCCCTTTTTTTTTCTTTTTACATAACGTAGAAAATATATATAAGCCACAACGATATCGCGCTGCTCCTTTCGACGTCCGAGGGATACTGAGGGATATACGATGAGTGAGACGAGCGAGTCGCAAGTCTTTCTATTCTACCACGCGATCTCGTAATTACTGAGCCGACTTCCTACGACTATGATTAACTGCATGGAAAAAATCCGATATTTTGTTTTTATATAATATATAATACTCTCCGAGTATTTCATCTACGCTATACGTTTTCGTGTGATACGAGGACAAGAAGCGGCGATACGTCCGTGGCGATCGCGTGATTGCTTGGGGATTTGTGGCTTTGAATATATTTGGCTTCGCCAAACGGCGGGTCCGCGCACGAATAAATATTTCGCTTTTATTATTACTACACTTCGATTAGCCGGGGTCGAACAGAATGATTTTACTATCGCTGTCGGTGAAACGGAGCATGAAAACCGGAAAAACGTGCGTCTGAATGAATAAAAATACGCCTCGTGCGTAACGAGGATAGGAGCGGGGCCATTAGGATTGACATTCTCGATTAAATTACTGAAATTATAGCGGGTATGTCATAACGCTGTCGTCTATTCAGTTAGGTCAATCGCGATCAGCGCGCCAAAGAGTAAAATTACGAAATCTGAATTCTTCGAAATTTACTATTTATCGTTAAGCAAATGATATTCCTAGATTCAGCGATCGTTTCCTCGTTTTGTTCGTCGACACAATGGCTCGATCATAGACGATCGCGAATGCTAACTGCACGGAGTGATTTGTGTTCAGCTGTGATCGTGAAAATTAGGATGACGCATGTACAACATGATTAATCGCGTTCTACGGGACTGACTAGGTGTATATGCGCGTGCTTCGCAGGAACAAAATGATTGTAGCGGCAAGCGGGTGTACAACGAGAGGCGCTGACTCGACGCGAATCCTTGAATCGTCAACCCGATGATTCATACGATCGACGTTCTTGCTATCAGCGCGCGCCGTTGGTTATCTCTTTCTATTCGCTCTTTCTTCGCTTCTCTTTTCTTCACTCGACGCGCGTCGCCGCGCCGCGCGCCGGCCAGCTCACGGCCTTCGTGGATTTTTCGTGATCAGCTCTGCGATTAAACGAGAAAAACGGAGCAACTTTATGATGCGAGACGTACAATTTCAATAAATATCTATGCTTAAAACGGGCAATCGCGAATAAATAATTCGGTGACTCTAAATACGGCGATTGCATCGAGCTTTCCTAATATCCGGTTATCGGTCTGCTGGAAGAAAGATGAATCTCTTATCGGGAGAGGATTTAAGAGGGAACTCTGACCTCAATCGACATGCTCCCTTCCCCCGAGGGGATCGATACTCCCGTTCTTAACGATTCGAGACTTCCGGGCGAGCGAGTAACGGAGTAACGCTCGATAAACGATAATCCATCCTCGGGGTACGAGAAAAAATATTTCCGAAAGAAACTTCGTACGGCACTTATTAGGGTGACGCATGCAGTAATCTCGGTTATATTTATTTGCACGTAATTCTCCCCGAGCTTCGTATTGCTGCCCTACCTTGGTCAGCAATACGACACGATTACATATTCCCGCAAGCGCGAACAATAAATCTCGAGCTATTATTTATCCAGGTCAGCGCGGTTCTCATTCCCCGGGAATCCGATATTCGACATAAAATGCTTTCGTTATACTCCAGCGATTCAAGTAGCTCCCCCTTCGACCGGTCGAAATATCTCGACTGGGATCAATCTTTAGGTGAAAAGCGTATAAGGTAAAAAGATCAGCGACCAAAAAACCTACGAAATTACTTTTACGTTCCTCTAATATCGCTGAAAACGCGTCGAGGAAACGTGCTTTTTTCTTCGCGAAAAGAAGGCAGGAACATGATGCAGTGATATCCTATTTCCTAAGACCCTGATAATTACGGTGCGCCTTCATTAGTGAGAGCTTCATGGAGAAAGCAAACAGTCGATGCTAAGAGTATATACGTTATTACGACGCAGTACGACGCGTTTTGCTGTCTCGTGGGAAAAGTGAATCTAAGTCTAAGAGCGCGTACAATATGATATAAAATATAATCTCTAATAGGAATAAATATGTACTTAAATATATGTGTATATTTATATATGTATATTATATATTACTTTTATAGCGACGCTGCGGTAGGATTATAATGTTACGAGGGCGTTGATAAAGTGTTAATGTCTCTTAAATATTTAAAATGACATACATGTAGCATAAATAATTTTTTCTTATCGAGAAATGCGACAGAATGATTTTATCGTTATATCTAAACGATGTGAGAGAGAAACGCGTCGTACCGCCGTTTGAAGGATCTAGCCAGCTGGGCGAAACCTCGAGATGAACATTGGGAGCCGTTCTAACTCTCGTTAAACTGTACAATCGTCTAAACTTTATTAACGTCGTCAACGGTGCCTGCTATTATTCTCGTTATGCGCGGTAGAAGCATTATTGTGTAGCGAGACTGCTAATCGTATTGCTATAATAGTGAATAGCCAGCGCGCGCGGCTTTCTCTCCTGATGCGTATGCAGCGAAATCGAAAAAATATAGATATATATATATATATATGTATGTATAAACGTATTGCGATATATTTGCAATACGCGTGCTCGGTAATGTAATAATGCGGGGACGAGCGCATAAACGGTAACGCCGGTTCCGGTAAATCGAGTCGTTCCAGATTTTCCGAAGAGCAAAGCCGTGTTCGAGTTTGCGCGAACGTCAATTCGTTCCTTCGCTCGAGATACGCGTATTACGTACGTTTTTACACAAGCAAATTTTATCCCCGCGGAAAGCTGCGGAAATATCCGCTCCGAATTGCAAGAACCATTCATTCCTATTTGCGCGCTTATCTCGCTTACGAACGCGCGCCTCAATACCGACAGTTTACGAGTCAGAAACGTGATACGTTTATACGTGGTTTTACATGGTTTTCGATTTAACTACATCGTTATAAAAAACGTTCGCTACATCTTTTATTTTAACAACGCCGAAAGAGTTAAACAAGCAAGCGGAGTAAAATCGGATTCTATGCGCTTTTACACGGCTCGTCTTTTTACTACAAGCCGGTTTGCCTGTCGCGCCGGAGACAAAGAGAGATTCAGCTGATACATGTATCACTCGCGCGACGTTAACGCATGGACATTCGGAGAATTCCGTAATCGGAAATTTAAAGTTCGGAATTCGGTACTCGGGGAGGGGACCGAATCAAGTTTGCCCCCTTCGCGGTCGCGCGCATCGCAGTTAAACCGGTCGTTATTACTAATTACTCAGTACACTCAGCCCTGCGCGCGACCCATTATTACTCCGGACGAAGGGGTATAACGAAACAGTTGGAAAGCCTATTTGCAAACTCAATCCGGGAAGTCCGTTCCGCGGAGGAGAGTTCCCAGAATTTCGAGACTCTTCGAAGTTCCGCAGACATACAATCCACTTCTGGTTATTGATGAACTCTCAAGTCTCGCAATTATCGGCGTCTAGACCGATCACGTCCCTATCCTCGATCCTTCAAAACGTCTTTACGTATCGAGATTTTTATTATATCAAAATACTTTAGATTTGCCATATTTTACACAGTTAGCACTTTCGTCAACCAATGCACTCGATGCACATGTTTTTTTTTTTTTGAATATTTTTTCTCTCTCTCTTCAATAATGATTTTTCTCTTATTAGCGAGACGCGATCTTCCTAAATCACGTGTACACGCGCTCGTCTCCGTACTCTCTCTCATTATTCCGCGACACGCTTTCCGTTACTGTTAAATACCGAAAGATTGGCTGCTCCCTTGCCGGGATAACGAGATGATAGCTTTTTTTTACTATACAATCACCTGGGAACGCGGATACGATATATATCGTAAAAAAATTCGGTGTTATACTTTCTTTTGTCAAAAGCACTTCTCTATTATTTCTATACATGTGACATGCTCTCTCTCTCTCTCTCTCTCTCTCTCTCTCTCTCTCTCTCTTTCCCTCTGAAACCTCCAGAAAGTTGGATAGATACTGTCGAGCTGGAACGAATCTTGCATCTCGAAGATATGAAAAATATTTGTACTATGAGGCAAGAAAAGAAATTAAGATTCTCGCCTAAGTGTAGATAGAAATACTCGCGATATGGATAGCGATATACGAAATAAGTATTAATTTTGATAACCTTCTTTTAACTATTTTAATTGCTTTTCATAAAATGGAAGATACTTTATGTACCTTCCTTTTTAAAGATTAAAATGCGATATTCAAGCAAATCTGATTTAATGCTTTAAATTGTACTATTTATTCGTATTAGTTTCGCGCTTGATAAACTTGCGAATCGCATGTTTGGCTTGCCATTCTTATACACTGCCGAGAAATTTGTTCGACGAATTTTAAGTCAAATTTCACGCGAATGAGCGAATTGTTTCGTGGTGTTAATTAATCTCTACTCAAAATGTTTATTGAATCGTTCGCGTTTCAAGGTACGAAACCGTTAACGAGATCCAAATTGGAGCAAACGAGAGCGCGCGATTGGATACGAAGCGCATTGCGTTGGAACAATATTGACTTATGATGAATAGGACAGGCAAAAGAAAAATACAGAGATGAGAGCTGAGAAATGCAAGAAGTGTAGAGTATCTCGGTGCCCGACAAGACCCGTCCCAGAAAATCTCAATGTATTGCGTTTATACATCACCTACTTTAGTTTGTCGTTACTACCTACTGATTGTTTACGTCACCCGATTCCGTATCTATAATATTCGATGCTAAAATGTCGAGATCTACGATATCTGTGCCGGGTAGGAAACTGAAACGTGATCAGGCTGGTAGGCCCCTAATTTGCAACCGTTAGTCTTCCTCTCTCTTCCCTTCTTCCTCCTTTCCTATCCGTCACGCTAATTTTATTGTGAAGATTGTGTGTGGCTCGTGGATTGTAGACACGCTCTTATTGCAATAATTTACCTACAAGGTACCCGCAACTCTTGAGGAAGGGACTTGTGACTTTATTTACATGCGAGGGTGAAGTTTGTCTTTTTTTTTTTTTTTTTAAACACACACATTCTCTCTTTCTTTTTCTCTCTCTCTCTCTCATTCTCTCTGTTTCTCTCGTTCATCTTTTTCTCTCGATATAAATTAATGTGTTACAAGACTATGCGCGGCATATATTGCATCCAGTTCTATTTTAACTTACCATATACGAACTGCGAGTTAGAGTTAAATATTTACAACCTTGAGATTACGCTGTAACGTTGCTACAGGTGTGTATACGCGTGTGACAAGGAACTCTGGTTTATAGAAATCATTCTTCCGCTGTGTGTCTCGATTTGGTTCTGAAACAACATTTCCCGAATTCGAAACGATAAAAAATGAGAACGTCTCTAAAAAAAAATTGTTATTTAATTTAATCAATTAACAAAAGCAAATTCGGAAATGTAGATTTTGGATAAATGACGTTTTTTTACATTGTTTATCAATTAACAAAAGGGGGGAGGGATTGTTATAATTATTCTTAACCAGGATTGTCTAACATGAAATCGAAAAGGATCGAATTTTATCGAGAGAACAAAGATGAATATTTTGTGATTATCGTTAAATGCTGAGCAAAGTTCGGGAATAATTGCTTCAGAATCAATTCTCCGTACGAAAAACAAAGTAATCCCACAAGGAAGGAATAGTTGATACATGGCAGAAAGAACTTCGGGCGTGTTGAAAAAGAAACACGGGTCTATGAAGCCACGGCTTTCGATTATCGAAATATTACGCGTCTACGTTTATTTATCTAATTGTTCGACAGCTTAGCTTCTATTACGAACACTATCTTTTCCATACGCCGTCGCGACGATGCGCGCAGCGAGGTCTTCTCTCCGCTATCCACCGTCAAGATCTGATTACGTTTGATCCGTAACAAGAGAAGGACATGAAACACTTGTCGCCGCGCCAGCGAACGAATGAGTGCACGAACGAACGAGAGAGCGAGCGAGCAAGTGAGCGAACGAGCGTGCGAGCGAGCTTGGTAACATTTTAACATATTTTTCAACAGCTACGTCAGACCACTTGCGTATTGCCCTGAGTATTGTTTGTACGTTAATATCTATCATGTCCTTCTCTTTGTGACTGAAGACGGTTTCAAGTAGGTAGTTACATCTCGTCCCGTTGAGTTTATCCGCTCAACGGCACACCGACTAATCTCATCGATCGAGTGGAACGTCCTCGAAGTTCGTTACATTACCGAAGTGCTGGAAGCCGTTCTTGAAGATCCGCCCCCGGCTGGTGCCCGCCTTCATCTGATCGAGTAACGTCACGTTGTCCTCGAAGTCCTTCACCCATCTCGCGGTTTCGTGGCCCCAGTGAAATCGTATTGGCGCGGCGTTGTGATAGACCTTCTTGATACCGAGGCTACGTATCTCGATGCCCTCGTCGGAGTGGTAGAATGACTTCTCGCAAAAGTCCTGGCCCAGGAACGGCTCCAGCTCGGAGACAATCTCCATGAAGGTCGGGCGTTCGCTGGGCCGCCACTTGAAACACTTCTCCATGAGCTTCTGTATGGTTTCGGGACAATTCCGCGGTATATTCAGCATGCCTTTGCGTAACACATGATGCAGCACCTCCTCGTTCGAGAAACCCTGATACGGTATCTCGGCGAGGGTGAGTATCTCGTAGAGCACGACGCCGAACGACCATACATCCGAGTCGGACGTGAATACGCCGTCGGAGAGATTCTCCGGTGCCATCCAGCGTATCGGTAGCAGGCCCTTCTTACCGATCTTATAATAATCGGTCTCGTAGATATCTCTCGCCATGCCAAAGTCGCCGATCTTGCAGACCAGGTCCTTGGACACCATGCAATTGCGGGCGGCCAGGTCGCGGTGCACGAATTTCTTCGATTCCAGGTAGGCCATACCGTCGGCGATTTCCGCGGCCATTCTCATTATCCTGGATGCATTCGGCACCATCTGGGTGTCACGTATCCTACGCAGGTACGTCTTCAGATCGCCGTTCTCCATGAGCTCCATGATGACGAATGGCGGATTGCCCATGGAGACTACGCCTAGCAATTTAATGATGTGCCATGTCGAAAAGTTCTTCATGACCGAGGCCTCGTTCAGGAACTCGTTTTTTTCCCGCTGGCTGGCAGTCTCGGAGATCGTTTTGATGGCTACTTGCCCGGTGCCGTCCAGATATCCGCGATACACCATGCCGAAGTTACCCAGACCAAGCTCCTCCAGGATCTCGACGTTCTCCCTGGGTACTTCCCAGCTATCGACGACGTACTTGGTCTCGATATAATCTGGATTTACGCTGGCTATCAATCGTTCCTGCGTCTTCTTCTTCTGGTGGCTCCTGATAAGGAACACTATCGTGGTCACAGTGACGAACAGCACAACTAAAGTCAACAGCGTTGCCACCATTATTCGATTGTTATCCGATAAACCAATTGAGAAGTAGACCACATTGGTGAAAGTGCCATCACCCGCTAGCGACGTGGAGCGCATTCTCAGGCTGTATCTACCCGGACTAAGGTTTCTGATGTAATGATTGATGTACTTCTCCCTGCGGCCGATGTACGGTATGCACTCGGTGCTCCTCTTCGCATCCTTCACGTCCAGATTCGTGTACTCTATGATGTATGAGACAGTGAACGCGTTTGGATCCTTGACCGATTCCCAGGTGACTTCGACGATTGTATCATTAGTCACGTGGACCTTCACGTTGGTAATATCGTCCGCATTCGGTCGCTTCAGCGTCCGGACATTCGTATACTGAATGGTCGAGCACATCGGCGCATCGCTGTCCATCTTGACGCCGCATGCGGCAATCGTGATAGTGTACAAAGAATAATGGCGCAAGTTCTTCAAAACGTACGAAGTATTTTGCGCACTGACATTGTACATATATCCTTTATCATTCGGATGGCCGATCGTGGTACCGCTACCAGCGTCAGCTAAACCGTCTATCTCAGTTTTCTGCTCTTCTCGTGTTGCGGTGGATAAATTATTCGTCACGTCATAAAACTTATTCTCCGGCGAATTGTAACTGTTAAAGACGCAGTGATCCTTCCAACCAGGCGACAAGTGGCTGATGGTCATATTCTTGTGACAGAATATCTCGAACTGTTTAGAGATCTTTGCGTCCTTGAAACAGCAGGAATTGGGATTCGAGATCAGCGACGTCTTAATCGTCACCTCATGTATCTCCTTCTTGGCCTCGTTGACCAAAGTATCGACACAGTAATTCCGCGTGGCGACCAGTTCCATGTCGTCCGGTAGAATCGTACTGGAGATCATGTAGTAGCCTATGGGACCGTTCGTATACACCGGCGGGCCCCATTTGAGTAGAATTTTGTTGTCGCTTATCGCGGTCGAACTCACATTCGTCGGTACCGAAGGTATCGTGTTCTTTGTCTGGAAGAAGATAATTTCAGATTGCCCCACCGGAGTTACGAAAGAATTTGAAGAATTCTTGTTCCTCGCCGTGAACGTTTTCACATAGGCGGCATACTTGGTGTACGGTTTCAAATTTCCGATATATTTCGAAACGATCGAATTCGAGTTCAGACCGACGTCCATGATCTGCCACGTGTTATTACCGCAAGCGTTCGCCTCGTACGTTATATCCTCATTCTCAGTCTCTATGTAATTTAGCAGATAGTTGAGAAGTTGTTGGCCCTCCGGCGGCTTATAGCTGTCCCAATTCAGAACCACGTGATCCGCGTCCCGCTTTTTCACCGTGATGTTTATGTTAACAATATTGCAGGCAACCTTATCGCCGTTCGATTCTGGTTGAACCTCGAGATCCGTGAAGTTCGTAATATTTACCATTTTGCCGAACTGCTCTATTTTCGAGAGGCAGAGCTTGGGATTGTAATGAAAGAACAGCCTGCCGTTCTCTATCGTTAGATTTTGGGATTGCGGGAAGAGGGAGGAGAGATTCGGATTATCCAGGACCACCAAACTCGCGTTATTAATGTCCAAATTTTCACCCTTGATCAATTTGAGTTTCTTGAAAAAGTTCAATGATGTGATCGGAAAAGAATGCGTTATCTTCAGGTATTCGGTTATCTCCTCGATTAAACCGAACGCGTCCGCCAATTCATTCATTATATTTGGGTTACCATTTCTTATTTGAAACTCCAGAGCCCCCTTCACTACCGTTATACCACGAAAACTCTGAGCGTCCGAAATGTGGCGTATGATAGCACCGTTTGCGATTTTACGGCACCGTCCTTTGCACGCCCGACAGGCTGTTACCTGTAATGTAAAATAAAAGAATATAGAAAGAAAAATCAATAACAGAGAAATACGGATGTATGTGTAGTAGTGAATGCAAGAAGCTATCGTACATTTTTTTCGTTGATGAAATCCTCGAAACCATCAGGACATTGAGTGACACAGGCGTTCTGGAAAGGTCGCCATGTCTGTATTTCATCCAATTTAGAAAATCTTCTGAGACTGTTCATGTTTAGGCATTCGTCCTGGCTGATGCATCGTCTCGAGAGATATGCGAATCTGCGAACAGAAAAACCGTTGTCACAGCAGAACAGATTTTCCTACCCATAGATAGGATATGCAGCATATTTATCATCGGATATTCTAGAATTGACATGTCGCAAGAACTTTGAGTGTGTTGCGTCTAAAATGTAATACGCAGTATCGTATTGCGAGATATTTCGACATAACGTTACAAAACGTCTTGTTTTGAATTTAAAATTTTCCACGTTACCTCTTTCTAAAATCCTTTAATTTACAGCTTTGTATATTTCGAAAACTTCAATTTAAAATAAAATTTATTAATTTTTTAATAAGACGTTTAAAATTGAACATAAAGCTGCAAAAATAACGATCTCAAGCAAATGTTTGCTAAGAAAAAATTTAATTCCAGCGTATTAAAAACTCGATAAAAGAGATTGGTAATCCCCTCAAGGTAATCTACATAATTCAAATTAAGTAATTTTAATTTTAAACTACAGAGCTGCATTATTCATGTTACATTTATATAAGATACATGTATAAGAGGAACGTATATAGTATCTATATAATATACTTGTTTTCTTATTCACGTCATATGCACTCTCACAAAAGTTACTCACAAATTGTCCGGACAGCTTTCAATGCATTTTCCTTTGTGTCGATAATGCTTGCACACGTAACACTCAGTATCACTTGGACCGTAACATTCTCCGAGACATTGTTCGTGGCATCTTGATCTCTCTAATTTCTGGCAATGTTGAGCAGTCCAGCAATAACTGCCAGGACATTGAGAGCATCCTGCAAAGTATTATTTTTAAAGGAGCATTATTTTTTGCATTACCTCCTTAATTCTCTGAGAAATAATGTTCAATTATTTCTCAGCGCATTTCTATCTTTGTTATGTGTTATATTTGGAATTAAGACTTGCATGTATCACCTTTCACATGCGGGCAATTCTGCTCGTTTCTGTTATCTTTGATGAAGTTCTCGCCGGCCGGAACAATGAGACTCCAGTTCACGGTATTTGTAAAACAGAGAGTGGGATTCTTCTCTATGCGTACGCCACCCCGGGATATCTTTGTCAGGTTGGTGAGGCCGATCTGCGAAAACGTTTCGCAGGATTAGCCGTGAAATTACGAGCCAAAGGTCGAACGGCCGGTTAATTTGATTGACTGATTAATATCACTTGACCCGAACATTTGACCGGGGCCTAGGCAGCAGACTGGGCCGTATACTCTCAAACCGAGACACAACTTGATTCGGCGTGGGAATGACCGATTGTGATATAGATTGTACGTGACGAACGTCATGTGCGCGCGGATAAAAATCTTTTTCACCATTCGCACGGTAACGAAAGTTGCACTCGATACAATACCGCTTGTTTTAACACGTCAACATTGGATTCGATAAACTAAACATCAGAAACTGTTGATTTCTCTACTGGATCTCTTACAATTTTTCTTTTTATCAGACAATTCAATAAATATAAAGCTCGAAGTCTATTTTCACCACTTATTGTTAGATGAAAGTCAACGTTGTCGAGATAACGTTAAAATTACACACAGATCGTTATGACCCAATTAAAATCTCGCTTGGGATAATTTTATTATTCGAGAAAACAGAGCGCCAAAGATAAGACAACGAAGTTAAGAAATAAAAAGTTAAAGAAGCAAGCAGCAAAAGAACTGCACGAAGCTCGAATGGATCTTACCTCCTGCAAGTTCTTCATTTCATAAATCATGAAGGCATAGTCCGTGAGGAGTATATCGCCCCTGATGACCTCGAGATTCGGGAAGAGTTTGTTGAGGCTCTTCAGACTGTCCACGCGATACAAAAGGAGGTAGCCGGTGATTTCTCTCAACTCCGGAAAGCTAACATTCTCGAAATCCGCCTCGGTATTGTTCTCGATCAGTACAATTTGCAGAAAGCCCTCGATTACACGGCACTCTTTCAATACTCTAAAGCTGTCAACGTCATTTCTGATGTCTATGCTCGCACAAATACCGTCCCCGATCGTCATATTCTTGTATCTTCGTCCTTTCTCTCCTTTCTTTCCTACCTCCTCGCTCGATTTCGCGTGCGACTTGGGCAGATTCGACGACTGACTAGACTGCTGATTGTTTTTAGACCCGACATCCGTAGATCTGAAACAATCAAGTTTTAATTCGTTTTGCAGTTTCGAGTATTGACAGACGTCGATGGAATTCTTCCAAAGCGAGATAGCTTCTTCACTTTTTTTCTAGAGAAGTCAAAAATGGTTCGCCAATACAAACAAATTTATCGATCCTCTTTTCGCTTTTTCCTTTTTCACGAGTATTTCACGGGTTTTCGAGAATCCTCAAAACGTCCAATGGAAGCGTGTAGTATTCCCCGAAATAATAAAAAATCGAGCTTTTTCAATAACTTTAATTATTTGACTCGATACAAATCGCAATTTTTATTCAACGATAGTAAAATGAAAAATGCATGCATTTATTTTCCGCTGAATTTTTAGCATTCAAGTGTTCCACTATTCAGAAAAGACTCAAATAGAAATACGGAGGGTTGAAAAGGGCCACTTGCGTTTAAATGATATCCTTTGTACGCTGTACCATTCGTTCAAAGTAAAATTAGCAAAGCATTTAAAGGCCGCTAATAACTCTAAGAAGATCAAAGAGAATTTTAACAGCGACGGCGCGCAGAGACATCGCAATCCCGACCGGCGATACTCGCGGCGATAACAAATTTGAGGGGACTAATTGGTGAAAATAAAATAAAATCATTTAGTACTTATTAACGTCGGAGCGCGAAAGCTTACACCTGAAATCCACCACGCTTGATATGTTTCAAGAAGGCGATCAGCAATTTTCGCATACGTGGACGTCTTCCGCGTTTCGAAAATTTGCAAACGGATATCGCGTACCTCTCCAATTACGAAAGAATTTGCTGATATATCGGGTGAACGCGCACAAAGGTTCAGTTTACATAAAGGATCAAGCAGTTCGTTCATAAGTAAAATGGTTTATTCAATCGATCTCCCAATAAGCTCCGCTCTTTTCTAGAATTTCTCGTCAACATTCTTTAACGATATATATATTAGTCATCATTCTTCAGCAATATATATTTCACCCATTTAAAAAGAGACTATATAAGCACTTTATAGGAATGACAAACAGTATTCAGCAATTTTGAAATACCAAGTTTATATGAATATCAAATTCCGTATCTTTATAGATATATTGTTGCGCGATTATAGAAATACCAAAAATATCAAGAGACCCGACAAATTCATACGTATCTCTGGATTTTTAGATGACATACCTGGAATTATCGATCGCTCTGTTGCTTCTGTTAGCGGCCAAGATGTCCAAAGATTCGGAGTCATAGTAGCCCTTGGCCGCCGAGCTCTGCTCATAGTAAAACTCCGCGGAGTCCTCCTCCTTCGTCCTGTCCGCGTAATCAGGGTCGTATTTGCCCTTGGCGCTTTTATCCCGGTGCTTCGTGGCCGCTTTCGGCCACCTTTTCTCCTGGCAGAGCGCCAGGCCCACTACCGTGACGCACAACAGAACGATCGGCAGCAGCGACTTCCTCGTCCTCATCTCCTTGTCTCATTGAACACCGCGCGCTTGAAAGCCTCCCGTTAAACGTTCCCGATCGTCGTATCCCCACGTGCCGCCCCGACCACCACTTTCGTTTTCTTTGATTGATCGACGACTGATAGTCGACCCTGCGAACTCGTCCCTACTCTCCTTCGTCCGCTTCTTCCTCCCCTCGCCCACAGCCTCGATCGCGTCCGATTGTTTGACCTTTTTTTCTTCGGCTTCTCAAAGGCGCTAATTAGCAGACTGCAAAACGGATCGTAGTTGCCTATTCAGTTCAAGGAAGGAACGCTAATCGAAACTATACGCGATAATAATGCTTTGTCTCTCGCTACCGTTTTTAGTTTGCGATTTAAAAAGAAAGAAAGGAATAGCAAGCTAGAATATTAGTCGTTTATTGCGAGTTATGCCGTGTGAAAAGGAATGAACAAATAAGCACTATAATAAACATGAGTTCTGTAGTAATTGACCCTTTTAACCAAGCTTTTAACCCACGAGTCCTATATTGGAATTAAATGCTTAAGCAATTCATAAAGTGTTGGAAGGAATGTGCACAGCCCTATTCCTCTACTTTCCTATTTCCGAGGTTTAATAATGAAATAAATCCGAGTAATATATATATATATATATATATACATATATATATAGTGCGCGTAAAAAGGAAACGTTTCTTTTCTCCTGTCCGGAATTATATCCAAAACTCATTAAAACTGGATGGCTAAAGCGCTATCTCGTTAACCCGAGAAGACGTAAAAAATCCGGGTTAGATTTATATTCCGTTTTATTTTAAATGAACACCACTCGTACACACAATTCTCCTGGCGTACCTGCGGGATTAAAAGCGACGCGGTTTTCCCCGCGAGAAAAACACTCTGGGTTACTCCCGCGCTCTTGTCCTCCTCCTCCTCCTCCGCCTCCACCCCTTCCTCCCCTCAAGGAGGTAATCGATCGATCGTCCGCGTTCGTCCAGGCTCGCGTGAACCGATTCTCCCTCCCCCGTGCGGGCTCCGGTTAACCCGGTTTCAAACTCGCGGGGGTGTTTCCTTTCCCGGAAGAATCAGAAGTCTTGAGGCCGCGCGAGTTTCCGCAAAGGGTTGCGTACAAGTGAGGCTGACCACAGAGCTGACGCCTTCCAAGTAGCTTCACAGTACCTTATTGAAAACGACGTACATTTCGGCCATCATAATTGCGTCGTCATCGCACGCCGTAATTATCTGTCGAAACAAAAGTCGAAACGTAACGTTTTAGCATATGGTGCAATTTCGATCTGTTCTTGCGAAAAATTGAAAAACGATGAATGAGATTGTCACCTTAATAAACTTAATACTACAGGTAGATTAGCACTTTTAATAGTGCTAGAAGCTTAAAGTATATAACATTTAGCAGACCCTTCACATTTATTTCCTGGACGTCTCTCATTTCTTTTTATGTATGTCCAAGTGCCAAATAAAATATGTATGTACGTAAGAACCATACTGTACATACATATGCATAATTATATTTAATTAAATAAGGATATTTGCATAGGTTCCTTGAGAGGATATTTAAGCGTATACGCTAATTAAAGTTACATAAAAACACGACGTCGAGTTCTAAACTAATTCGCAAATTAATGCCGAGGGCACAACTGCGCTCGATATAATTTCTTTTTGACTGGTGCGTTTTGCAACTGAATATTCCCTTGATACCTTCAAATAAGCTATTTAAATAAAAATAACAATATTAATTGGTACCTTTAATTAATTCTGTTAGATAATAAAAAATAAACGATAACTTGATTAAATGTAAAATGTAAAAGCGGAAATTTCTTTGAAAATATTCAACGTTGAGTAAAAAAAAAAGAGATTAAATTCAGGAAAACATGAAACCTGCGATACAATTAATTATAACTAATTATACGTGATATAACCAATATAATTATAATAGTTTTGCTATATCGATCGGTTTTAATTAAATGCCGCGGCTTAAATTGCTAGTGACGCGTATAGCCACAATAGAAATGCGTTACATCGAAAATGACGTCGACGCTATGTGAATGCACACATATCATTTTACTTTAAACATAATGCTAATAATATATTCTCGGATTTTCATCTGTTATCTCGCGTAATAACTTTCATTGTGCGTCTGTAATCTGCATCCGTTATACGTACGCACACGATGTAATTATCATATTTCATATACGCAAAATAACTGCACTAGCTACCTATATTATATCACAAATAGAGATCTAGTTAATTAACTCAGGTGCAAATGTGCACGTTGTTGAAATTTAAATCTAAGCGCGTCCATATCAGTCGTCACGATCTTTAATGTCTATTAACATTAATGTCAGATATCCGCGACTCTATCGTGAAAAATCGCGAACTTTCCAACAAGGAAACGGAGAGAAATTCAATTTTGATTTTTCGTGAAAACCAGTCTGGATTATCTGTAATATTAGCGTCGTTGCGCAACATGTTGCAACATGTTGCAAATACTAGTTTGCAATATTTTATCGTACACGAATGCTTCTTTATCTCAAAGTTCCGGATCCAATTACAGTAAATCAAATTGATTCTCTCTTTGGATTGCCACCGATGCTCAAGTGTGCTTGCTAATTACAGTTAGGCAAACTTATACATAAACGATCTATTCGAGATTTTACCATCGAGAGTTCTTGCTACTAAAAAAGCAACGAGAAATTAAACAGGAAAAACTTTTATCTGCTTCTATTGTGCATAAAGTATAATTTTGAACTAACAAGGAAAGGTACGGAAGTGTCCTCCTCCGATTTTGATGAGCTTTCACTATTTTTCTAGCCAAAAATAAGAGACACGTATTTTTTTATACGTGCCGCATATGCCATGCATGTTCAGGAGCTGAAACACACCTTTGAAAAAAATCGGTTTTTCTCTTTCGGGTCAAATATCTCTGAAATTATAAAAAATAGAAAAAAAAACTTTTTCAACAAAAGTTGAATGGTTTGAAGAGTAATTTAAAAACAATAATAAAATTTTTATTTTTTAATAACAATAAAAAAATGAAATAAAAAAAATTATTTTGTCATTATTCTAAAGTGCTCTACAAACCATTTATCTTTTGTTTAAAAAAATTTGTTCTATCTTTTATAGTTTTGGAGATATTCGGCCGAAAGAGAAAAACCGTTTTTTTTCAAAGGGGTGTTTCACCCCCTAAACGTGCGTATAGGCACGCATATAGGGACGCGTATAAAAAAAATACGTGTCCCTTATTTTTGACAACAACATATTAAAAGCTCATCAAAATCGGAGGGGGACACTTCCATACCTTTCCTTGTAAGTAATTTTGAAGCAAGTTAAGTATAATTTTGAGCCTCATAACGCGAAGCTCTTTGACAAATTGAGAGCTCAAGTTTTATTAGACTAATTTGCATACAAAGTGATTCTAAAACAGGTTGTTAAAGGCAAGACGTGCTCTTTGACACGTTCGAGGACGCTGTTCCTCAGCGCGCGTCCTAAGCCATGTTTGAGAACGCTCCCTCCTCGCGATGTTTTAATTTTCATTATATGTAACTTCGTGGCGGTCTCAAATTACAAATCTGTTCCTGCTAAATTCTGTATCGCAATTTTACTTGAAATCAAACCAGGAATAACGCCTTTTACATCCATATCCGAAATGTAATTGGCGAAAAGTGTACTTTCTGCTACGTTTACAAGAAAGGTCGTTAATGCTTCTTACGTTAATAACATTAAGAAAAAGTCGACTCAAGATTGGAGAAGGTACGATTGACGGCAAAGTTTAATGGCTTGATTTCGAATCACGTAGACTTCCAGACCTTCCGAGTTTGATTCGTTTCTCTCATTTACCCCTCCTTCGCCACCCTTTGTCGACGACCTTTCGTTTTTCTACTCGGTTTCGCTCGCTCTTCGCTCCGGCAATACCGAATACTTACACCGTCCATTTCGGATTACGACGTCAGCAACGAGGAAAATCGTGCGGACAGTTCTTGGAATTTAACGTTCCTGAACAAATAACAAATGGTCGGTCGTCCAAGAGGTATTCTCTTTTTTTTTGTTCGATAAAGCAGCCTCATGAGAGACGCCGTAAACTCCACCCGTGTAAACAATTACTTTAACGTATCGTATTAACCTATAGTAGAAACCGTGTGGAAATTGCAGTTATGAACGGATCTCGGATCGTAGCAGTCACGACGCGACGGCCGGTATCATATTTCGTCGTTCTGCCGCATTTTATAAGACCGTTTTATGAAACCAGAGTGATTCTTTGCTCGAGGAGGAAGTTATTCGTGTGAACGTTGCGAGAATCGTAAGTAATATTCTTGTCGTCGTTTCTGCCGTTTCGCTCGCGTCGGGCGGAAGTCGAGACACGACTACACCGAACGTCGATTATTTCGTGAATCCTCAGTGGGCTCCGACGATCGTGAGACCGTCTTCTATTTCTTGATTTCCAACCCGCAGAATCACCGTATTGCGGTTTTTCTAGGATCTAATTAAAAGTATAGATTGTAATACTTAAATAATTCCCAAAGGTATTAAATGTATTCCAGCATGGAGAGCTAGGGATAAAAGCCACACAAAAAGGAAATTCAATTAGGAATTTAAATTAATTATTATACAATAAGACAGAGTGCTCGTGGATTTAAGTTTTGATCCTTCTATAAAAGAGCAAGGATACATTTAACTATTATAAAAGCCACACATAAAGGAAATTCAATTTATAGGAATTTAAAAATTATTGTACAATAAGCGCTCCTTCGATAAAAAGAAGTAAACTTTATTTTACCATTAAAGTTGCTAAATAAGTATTCTCCTCGCGACGGAACGCGGAAACTGATAGTTTAGAAGTTATTCTGGATTCCGAGGGGGTCTTTCAACAGCTGCGGTCATTATTCACGGTTCTACCGGCAATACCGCATCTCGAAGGGCGCCCGCTTTATAAACTTTCGAAAGTGGTTTCTCGTCGACGACGAAAGGCGAGCGATTCTCTCGCGCGCGAGAGAGGCAACTCGCGAAGACCGCGATGATCGTCGGCGCGAATCTCCGCGCTTCTGACGTCATAATCTAGCCAGTGGTTGATGCGTAGGTAGACGGATATTGGCGACGGACAGAAATCTCAGGAATAAGGGGAAGGATATTTAATGCCAAAAATTGAAGAAGTTTGGAAAGAGATGACGCTGGACGAATGTTTCTCACGCGGATTCTCGTTTAAATCACCACTTGAGCCGCCTACCTTAGAAGATAACTATGTCGTCGACCACTTAGCCGCTCGCGCGACTCGGGCGAATATCTTAATTCGTCGTATAAATATCGCGATAACCATCGCAGAGAAAAGGCAGGGAAAGGGACGAGAGAAGGGGGGGGGAAAGGGGAGAGGCATCGTCGTCGGCGGCGGTGCCGATTAAAAGCCGGATACACGTACGATAAAACACGAGAACTTGTTCCGCGATAAGCCCGCACCTGAGAAGCGGAAGAATCTACGTCCGTAAACTTATTCTTTTGGGAGAAGAGGCGGGGGTAGTGGAAGAAAGAGAAAAAGAGGGAGGGAAAGTGCGGAATTATGAGCGGCTTTCGCGATAAGTTAAGCACACGTTGCATAAATATAAATTCAGCCGGTTTTATGCTCATACGTGTTGTGAAGTAATGTGTATCCTTTAAGTAGGTCTTATTTAAGAAAAAACAAATTGCATCTTTGTACAAGAGATTACAGAGATTTTTCTTTATCGTATTTTATGCTGCGAGCCGAGCGCGCTACGCCATTTATTTCATTTCTCGACTCCGGCTTACTACATGTGAGCATAATAAAAAAGGAAAAGACGAAATAATGGAAAAAAAAAAAAAAAAAGAAAAAAAAGAAAAAAAAGAAATAACGAATAGTGAAAACGGAACGACAATACTGGAGTCGAGTACATTCGTTTCAGCGCATTTAAACGGCAGAGTTATACCGATCGTAATCATTTGTTAAAAACAAATAAAGGAAAAAGTAAAAATATGCGTCTTTAATTTCTTGAGCCTTTTCGAAAGTAAGAAATAAAAATTTGTTGAAATAAATTAAAATTTAATTATAAATCAGCGTGATATTCTTCGCGCTGAGGAGCACACGGGTTACGTAGAAAAAGTAAAACGGATTAATTACAACTTATTTTTCTGATTGCAACGACGTGAGTGTGTCAAAACCGACACCTTCAAGCGGATTCCCCGTATCGTTTCTTTGGGGCAGGAACAAAGTAGTCGGA